AACATGCCATTTGTGTGTGACATATTGCCAAGATTTTCTCTTTTAATTAATGTAATTGAATGACAGACAATCAAGGAGTTATTGCTAAAAACGTCAAGTAAATTATCTATTTGTACCATCTTAGTATCTTTTTCGCTTAGCAAGCAAACAATTAACTTGCTACAAGACTTAGTCTAGTTGTACAAAATAATTAGTTTTGACGCTGATTAAGAAACGTAGAACGTAGTTTCTGAAAGTTTAATTGCACAGGGAGCAGCAACAAAAAAAATTATACAAATCAAGAATTCGTAGAAACTCAAAAGAAGCTTAACAAAACAAATTGTCACCTTAGTGCAGTAACAGATTAAGTCCTTAATTAATTCTAATAGGAGTTAAGCAGTTATTGCTCTAAGGTTACGAAATGTTCCTTGATGGCATTGTTACAGTTTTTATATATGTATTTGGTGTCCTGTTATAGTTAACAAAAAAGTCATTCATTGACCAATAACATGAATAATCTTTTTCTTTTCTTTTTAAGCTTTCAAAAATTAGTACAGTTATAGTAGTTAAATATTTTGTATGGAAGACAAAAATATCTTTGTTCACATTTTTTCTATATAAATGATGAATAAATTCACAGTTAGTAATTTATCCAGGTGATAAGCATCTAACATACCCGAAACCCATTATTCAAATGTTATAAAACTCAGGTTTGACCCGTTTTAAAAAAGAAAGCTTTACTCATTTCTGAAGTATTATGTGCAAAAAAAAAATTGGCAATCATTCAATCTGTATAATACCAACCATATTTTAAGTACGACCTGGTAACCGAAACGTACCGTCCATGATCAGACGGATTGGATATGATGTGCCCACAGATCTTGTTTTGCACTGGTCGCATGGGTTAATTCTAATGACACTATGTTGTATTATAAAAGATAGACTATTTTAATGGCAGTTGACAACAGGTCAACATGTTAAACAACTGACTAAAATAGAAAAGAAAAGCAGCAGCAACAACTGCAAAAACAACAAGACCCACAAAGATTGTGTCACTCTTTCGAACTTTAAATTGATATATTTATAGTATACATAGAAGTAATTTTTTGTACAAATTAACATGATTTTCTTTGTGAAATTCAATGGCAGAATGTCATACTGTAAGAGGTGAATAGCCAAAATTCTATTCTGAATATTTGATAATTTTACATCTTTATCTATCAGTACAAGTTGAAAAAGCAAAGAACATCGTGAGCCTTGACGGACTTTCGATTTACTCATCAAATTATCTTTGTCTAGATTTCTGAAATATTCCATTAAGTTATTTGCTAACGACATTTCTGTTTCTAGTTGTGTATCTCGTATAAGTGATTGATAAATCTATGAAGGACTGATGGGAGGAAAAAAATAGAAAATAAATATAAGTTTCCATTCAATGCTTTTAGTTTCGCAATAATGTTATCATGAAAAGTGGTATAAAGATTCAATGATATGGGGAAAGTATTAGAGATTTTGAATAGATTATACATTGCAGATAGAGATCACATATATACAGCTTAGATTCTGCTGCACAATCTGAATTTTGACCACTATCCGAAACACTAATCTTACAAACATTTCTAAACAAATAACAAGTAGTGGGAAAAAACAGTGTCCATTTTATACTAGAGTCTATAAATATGTATATGTTTCGTTTCATATATTTTGTAATGAACACGAAAAAAACTCTTTGTGTAAAAAATAAATGGAAATGGAAAAAAATGGCATTTGTAGAATCTTATTTGTGATTTGTTATTTGCGTTAATTTAGTTAAATATTCAATTAGATTAAGTCAAAACCCAAATGCTGTTTATTGAAAAACTTTCTTTAAAGATATTTCGACATTTCGGTCCAGAATTATCTTGGAAACTTACACGTCTATATGTTTTACTAAAACACGCCATTTGTGTTTGACATATTGCCGCGATTTTCTCTTTTAATTAATGTAATTGAATGTCAGACAATCAAAGACTTATTGCTTAAAACGCAAAGTAAATTATCTATTTGTACCATCTTAGAATAATCTTCGCTTAGCAAGCAAACAATTAACTTGGTACAAGACTTAGTCTAGCTGTACAAAATAATGAGTTTAGACGCTGATTAAGAAACGTAGTATTTTGAAAGTTTTATTGCACAGGGAGCAGCAACAAAGAAAAAGACGGCTGCGAAACAAATAATAGTAAAATACAAATCAAGAATTCGTAGAAACACAAAAGAAGCTTAACAAAACAAATCGTCACCTTAGTGCAGTAACGGATAAAGTAATTAATAAGTTTTAATAGGAGTTAAGCAATTGTTGCTCTAAGGTTACGAAATGATTGCATTGCTTAACAAAGTCTATCTCTTGATAATGAATTCTTTACCAGAGGAATTTCTTTAAGGCCCATTTTGACCCAGAAATGATTTTAATTTTATTTCTCAAAATATTTTAATTTGTGGTGCCCTGTTTTAGTATTAAAAGAAGTTACTCATTGACCAATTACATGAACAATCTTTTGCTTCTTTAGCCTTTGGCAATTAGTATAGTTATAGTAGCTAAATATTTTTGTGGAAGACACAATGCTACTTTGTTTATATTTTTCCTAAATAATTTAATAATACATGTAATTATATTTACATTTAGTTATACATTGTTTTAGGTGTATGCATATAATATGCCCTAAACCCATTATTTACACGTTATAAAACTCAAGTTTGAATGTGCCTTTAAAAAGACTTGTCCATAAATCAATTTGTTTAAAACCAACTATCATTAAAGTACGGACTGGAAACCGGAACGTACCGTCCATGATCAGACGGATTGGATGTGCCAACTAATCTTGTTCTGCACTGGTCTCATGGGTTATTTCTATTGTCACTATTTTTGTGTTTCAAACACGTTCTTGTTTTTCTATATAATTGCATTGTACATCTTGTAAAAAATTAAAGGAAAAAAAATAAGTTTAAACTAAACTATTGTCACTAGGTAATTTTGCTAACTATTGACTATTATAATCGTGGCCGACAAATAGTTGATAACGTGGAATGTTAAGGCCAACATATAAAAAGAACTGCCGACAATCGAAAAACAACAACAAACTGCCCAACTCTTTTTTACATAAAAATTGATCAATTTAACGTTCCTATTTTTGCAGTAATTTCGAAATCCGCATTAAGTATTGTTTATTCATGTAAAATGGAATACTAATTGAAAGTACTAATGTTATTTGGTTTTTATAACCATACAACCTTATATACACTTGAACTGGCGCTTTGTTTTATAATGTTAATAAAAACCAAATGTCAAATATTGAAATACCATTCAAGTGACTCTCTAAGATTTTGTATTCGCATTCTTTCATTCCATTTAAATATTACAATTGATTGTATCTTATAGACCCATTTTGCCTCAGCAATTCTATAATTTTTATTTTTCAAAAACTATTTATTTTTGTTATTTTGGTTCAGTTTCCTAAAACATACTAGATCTAATTTACTATCTTCTGCAACTGTAGTTCTGATGACAATTGATATAATGATAGTGAATAATTATTTTGTATAGAAGCCAGTATACTACTTTTTTTACGTTTTCAATTGCTTCCTTAATGACACATAACTGCACGGTCATCACTACTTTTAAAAACATCTAACATGCAATTAACCCATAATTTAAACATAATTTAACACATGTTCAACATTGCTTAAGAATTAGAAAAATAAGGATTTTCTAGGTATAATGTGCTTTAAAACATAAAGCAGGTAAGTTTGATAAAATAGTCACAACTATTTAATATGCATAAATGTTTGATATATTAAATGTACATAGTTTATATTTCGTTTATTTCACATCCTTTGATATATAAATAAAATCTTTACATAGTCATTTAATCTTATACTTTGCAATAGTTAAGAAACACTTACTCTAACCTTAACTAAATGTTCATTTCTCTTTCACAGATTGAAAATAGTAAGGCAAAATATTCTTAATGTGTAACGGTCTATAATGGGTGGTGTGTAATACAATAAATAATTACGCTGATAGTATTTTATTTTACACATAAAGTATTTTATTTTAGACATAAGAACAAACCGTGAGAAAATAAAACATGAATGTTGCTTGCAAGTGTGAGATACATGATATAATTTACATATTAAATAATGATATTTATCTTACAATGTATTAGTTATGAAGATGTTTTGGCAAGGATTATATTACAAACACGACTATATTACCTGTCAGGAATATTTAAAAAGAATTTATAATACTGCAAACTTACTTTACTTTTTTACAGAAAAAGTGTGATTTCTTCGTAAATTGACAGCAACCGTGTATATAATAAAACTATAAAAACGTCACAATTTTTTTTATTCAATGAAAAGCGACGTTACAAATGTGCAGCTTTATAAAGCAGATATTAAATTGTTCTAGAAAATATTATTATTCAAGCAATATGTTATAAGAATATCAAATTGATACATATCTATTGTGTTTTATCATCATTTGAAATACTTATTTACCAATTGTAGACTATCAACATTAATCAGCACATGATCGCAAACTGCTATTTTCAGAAATCTGGCATGTTTTCTATTTTATCTGAAGAATATTATAAAATGTCAAGTGTTATTTTATATAGGAATATGGTTATTGTTGTAATCCATTTCTTGTTACTTGAGTCGAATCACACCATCCAGTAATCCTCTCTGTTCTACTACTTAAGACCCATTTAACTAAATATGAGCCGGGTCATGACAAAACCAACATAATGGGTTTGCGACCAGCATGGATCCAGACCAGCCTGCGCATCCGCGCAGTCTGATCAGGGTCCATGCTGTTCGCTGTCGGTTTCTATACTGGTTATAGAGTTTGTAAGCAAACAGCATGGATCCTGATCAGACTGCGCGGATGCGCAGCTAGTCTGGATCCATGCTGGTCGCAAACGCATTACGTTGGTTTTGTCGTGACGCGGCTCAATTATATTTTTTTCTTTTTGTCGTTTCAGGTGCAGCCTACACAATAATCCTGCTATTAGCAAGTTTGAACAGTTGTACCAATCCTTGGATATATTTGCTGTTCAGCGAGGCTAATCTACAAGAAATTAAACGTCTTTTTACCAGATTTATAAAATAACTATTTTATGTAATTATGTTCTTAGTGTTTTAAGTGAGAAAAGCATGGCTTAATACACCGGAGTAACATGAAACAAATGTCATTTGGAACGAGAAAATTTTATTTATGAAAGCAGCAATACTAGTTGTTGAGATCCACTGATGATTTGTGTTTGTGGAATATGTTTCTAATAAAAACAATCATATCAACAATTCCTTTTTTTCTCCAAAAACTAGAACCTTGGAATGAAATATCAAGCGTGGTTGATTAGTAGCATTATTTCCATTAACATAAAATGTAAAAAATAAAGGAGGGTCAAGGTGACAAATGTCTCTGTCTCTTAACAAAATCGTGTTTTCCAAAGTCAAACCATTCCCGGGTCACTCCAAAATGTTTACTATCAATTGCAAGAACCTATTTTATCGAGCTTTGATGCATATTTTAAACTAATACAAGATAAATTTAATTGCTCAATTATACATGTAAACTGATGCATTGATTTCATAGATAATTGAAAAAATAAGCAAAGTAATAATTGCAAAGAAAGACGAATCATACAATCATGGTGTATACATTCAGTTTACACATAAAGGTATCGCAAAGTTACGTACAGTTTCTCCCTTGTGACTATGGGGTCGCCTTTTAGGATTAAGGCATGCGAATTGCAGCAACTGTTTTTTTTACTGCGTGATCGTTAAAGGCGGCTAAATGGGAATGAATGACTTTAATTACTGAAGTTTGTGCATCTCGTAGCTCCAGCATCACGGTGAGTTGGTGGTTTTGACCCTAGGTGTTGCTGATTAGCCAAAATAATCTCTCCTTTTTTCGGTGCCATATGACGTCATTTGTGTTGGTGCACCGAACAAAAACCCACTTCATTCCTTTTATACTCTATGTCATTTTCGAAAGATAAAAAGCCCCATTGACTATATGCATTTAAACATATAAAAAGTTCAAACACATTCAGTTATTTACAAGAAAAGTTTAACCTTTAATAACTTACAGAAAATTGCGCATTTTACTTCTAGTACTTCTACAATTGTAACTTATATATGAATTAATGGCTTCAGTTGGTTTTTACTACATTGTTTATATTGTTTCTATTGGACATTTCTTAATTTTCATCTACCAGTATTGATTTCGTAAATACTTAATATAATAATGAAAACAGTTTAATAATAAAAATAATGTTTAAGGCTTCATTTGCATCATTGAGTTTCCTAAGATATTAATGCAGGAAACGAAATGTTTGTTCAGAAAGTTAATTTTGAATGATTGTGCCATAACCTTTACATTAATTTGATAAATGATGCCATTAGAAATTTATGAAAGTGTAACTTCTAATGATTTGTCTGATAATAAATCAATCTAAAGCAATATTGCATATATCTCGTTTTAGTTATACGATTCCTTATTCAGCTCCTGGATGATAAATAACGGTAATCTAAGAATTAAAAAGTCACCAGGGACATACTAAATTCCTTATATATAACAAACATTAAAAGATTTTTCTTATTTCTTATTATTCCAAGATAGGTTTGCATTTTTCGTGTATAAGATGTGTGCCTTCGATAATTCTAATCATAAATGTATTCAATTAAAATTGAATATTTATTTCTCAAACTTGAATAGATATCAATATTATTTTGCGATTGATATACATGTATGTATCAACATTTTCAAGTACAACAATGGTACAAAATAAGAAATAAAAAAGATAAGAAAAAATAATAAAAATAGAAACATTAATTTGGTTATCTTATTAATAAGTAAATACAAGAAGACAATTTTTATGATTTATGCAATAAAAGAAAACAGGTGTCATATATGTTGTAAGGGAATGATATTATTGATTTAACAATTATTATGATATATAAACGCTATCAGTACAGTTTGAATAGCAAAACTGTTTTTGAAAATATAACAAACTAACTATTAGCCTAGACGGACTTTAAGTTTACTTATCAATATATCTGTGTCTACATGCCTGGAATAATCCATTAGGGCTCTTTGTTAGCATTTTTTTTCTTATTTTGAATCTGACGTATGTGATTGATGCCATACATACCATACATAAAGAACTTGGAGGAGCAAAAAGAAAAGTTCCATCCATGTAAATAAAAATTAAATTTATATTTTCATTCAAAGCTTTCAGCTTACATTCAATTGATAAATATTTATAGATATTGTAGAAAATCATTTCAAACTATTTACATACGTGTTATTTTGAACTGTAAAATATTTTTGGATGTTCATTATTTCTAAGAATTTCTCTGTTAATTGGGTTAATTGAATGATAGACAAATAATCTTGTAAATCTTTAAACGCCAAGTAAATTATCTGTTTGTGGCACATTCGGTGCTGAGCTAAGGATGGAAAATATTATTAACTTATTTTCATCACTATATTTGTAACTGCACAAAAATTATTAGTTTGGAGAATGATTAGGAAACATTCATGTTGAAAATTATTTTCGCACATGAAACAGCAAAAACATAGTTGTTTAGTAAATATTCTACGAAATGACGAATAACTAAACAAGAATTTGCAAATTGCATGAGAGGTTCATTAGACATGTGTTTCTTGACAAATTTGCTACAGTAATTATCTCTACAATATGTTCCCTATTTATCATTGGACTTGACAGTCGATGAAGTCTAACGACCCTAGTGTCTGTAAACAAAGTCCATTTTTAGACTAAATATAAAAAATATCACGGTATCACATGCATCTGAATTAAGGAACTCATGTCATAAGCTGAATGACATATTCTTGGCTTCAAATTGAATCCTTTACTTGCTGAATTATTAAATGGGGTGGTCCATCTCTTAATTTGGAAAAAACCAATTGTTTTTTAAGGGAAAAATTAGTATTTGAATTTCGAAATGACTAAAAACCGAAAAGTGCAAACCATGGTCAGACATCATGAATGTTCAGCTGATCTTGTTCTTCTTTGGTATCCTGTATATTAAATTCTGTTGTCACTAGCAGGACACGAGATAATGTGAATTTTTTTGAAAAAAAAAAAGAAGATGCTTTATATCTCATAAGATTGACCATTATAACAGTTATTGACTACTAATTGTTCAAAAAAATAAAAAGTAAATTAAACATAACCATTTCAGTTTACTAATGTTGTCACACTAGTTTTATTCAGTTCAACATAATAACATGTAGGTCACATAGGATATCATTTATTCATGTTAAGTAGAATATATGGTCTAAAAGATTAACAGTTAAATGTCAAGTTGTTTTGACATTTTGTCTGCACGGTTCCTATCTACAATAGTATGGGAAATTTTTCAATTTTAACATTGTGTTAAATTTTCAATATCACTGATTATAAGCGTCCTTCTGTGACGTTCTATGAACTATTTTCATGTCAGTTTATTCAAGTAGATATTGTATTCAATTGTATATAATATGTTTATATGAACCGATGATGAAGTGTTATAAATTATCTTTACATCAATCACACTTCATTATGGTTTAATTTTGTTCCAAGTAGATCTAAAAACATAAAATCAAAATATCCTACTAGGATAAACTGCGGAACATAAAAATGAAGAATATGAAATAAAGATAAGCAATGTACTCCGGTCTTAGAGTCCACATCAGTAACAACTTTTCATGAAAATCTTTCTAAGCTTGTTCTGTGTACAGTGGTTCGGGAACCGACAAGGCAGACTCGGACATCATGTCAAAAAAAGGCTCTTATTAAGTCAACACCTAACATCACTGATTACTTGAGATGACTTGACATACATTGTCTTCTCCACGATGTGCACGCCTGGGGAGGGATGTGGAGAAGTTAGATTAAAGCGTTGAGAGGCTTTTCAATCAAAGACCGTTTAATAATGCTGATACTGCTGGAATGGAGAGTCTTTTAAAGTGACATTATGCTCATTTTTCCATTGTCAAGTTGAGCAGAATTGACTTTTATATATTTCAAAAGACCTACTCTTTTAAATGGTGATTGACCAACAGTTGATATTGGAAAAAGATTAGTATAAAATATAAATTTGCTTAAATACTTTAAAAGCTGAAGCCGTTTTTATACATTGACAGTTACTGGTAAATTCCGATGGATATTTACATAAATTTCCTTTGCCCATGTGAGTTATTTTTCATGCGAAGAATATTATAAAATTTTAATTGATTAGGGCAAATGTTAACATTCTCGGATGCTTCGCAATCGAGTCATATGTGATTGCGAAATAGACGCGTGATTTACTGACACGATTTATTTTGCGAGTGGTCAAGAAAAACATATTCACAAATCAGTTTTTCACTTCATGACCAATTTTAGATTTCTCAAAAGAAAAGACAATGATGGCTTATCTCCGTATACAAATAATGAACTGTGTAACTGTCTGTAAGTCACCGAGATTTAATATCGTGGAACCAAGCTAAAATTAAATCATGTGTAAGCACGTTGTCTGCACCTAAAGGGTAGTTGTTTCGCGTTTGGACAAAACTAATTAAACAGGAATATGGTGTCGGATTCCTGGCACATAACGACATTGACTAAACCGTACCAATCCTGTCACTACTAGTACTACAAGTACTGACGTAATGAAATTTCGTGCCATAACGCTTTCCCCTTCCCTTGAATTTCAACATCTGAGCAAATCTAAACAGACATTCATTATGTAGTATTTTATTTGGCTCTTATAAATGCACTTAAAGTAAAAGGTGAACTATTTTTCGGAATAATGCTATCGTGATCTTCTTAAAATGTCAAATGTTTCTTTATATTAAACTGATTATTGTTGTAATCCGTTTCTTTCACTCAAGTCAAATAATATCTTTCAGTAATCCTCTCTTTTTCTATCACTTCAGACCCATTTAACTAAAAGACCTATTCTATTTGTTATTTTATATGCAGCTTACATAATAATCCTGCTTTTAGCAAGATTAAACAGTTGTACCAATCCTTTGGCTATATTTGATATTCAGCGAGGCAAGGAATAAAACGTCTATATGCAGATTTATAAAATTACTATTTCTTATGTGATTATTTTCTTTAGGTGTCTCTGTATGGAATTAGATGACTTAATGTATAGAAGATATTGAATGAGTGTATTATTCAATACTGAATTTATTGAACAAGTTGAATCAAATTATTTTATGCGATCCTCTGGCAAGCATA